CTCTAAAGGTAGCCCCGATTATTGCTGACTTAAGCATCGGAGTGTCTACCCCGAGTTCCACCTCGGGGCTTTGCAGGTCTTCTCGGTCTTTTGATCTCTTTTCCTAATTTTGTTGGTTTTTTTGGCCTTTTTTATATTTGATGCTATTTTTGTAGTAATTATTTTTCCTTTATATATTTGTGTGAAAATTTTGTTGTAGTTTAATCTTAAAATTAATCATGTTTTAAATCAAACAAAAAATTATTTTGTATGAATCTTTTTATATATTAAATAAGTTAAACAAAGGAATAACCCTCCCCTTAATCTCTCCCTACCCACCTTAAAATTTGAATTCAATGTCACCTACTTGAAAATTTTAATTTTTAATTACTTGAGACATTTTTTAAAACTTTGGTAGGAACAATCTTAATTTTACAAAGGAAAATAATTTATGGATAACCTTTTGGTATTATTTTTTGTAGAATTTTACATATTATTTAAATGATTGGCTCTTTTTATTCATTTAAGATCCATGATATTAAATACATTTACTTATTTAATAATATGCAAAAATTATATAAAAAAGTGGTACAAAAAATATTGTCTCTATATCACCTCCCTTTCACAAATTTTTATCCTAAAATATTAAAAGATCTTTTAAATTTATTTTTTTTGAACATAAATTTATTAAAATATTTATAAACTAATTATTTAATATTACACATTTTCATATATTTTATTTTAGTATCTATTTTTAATAATAAATTTTTTCCTTCTTTTAAAAAATAAACACATTCTAACAACCCACAAGTGGTTTTTGATAATACTATTCTATATATATATATTAAAGCAAAAACCATTCAAGATAAATAATATCAAGTGTCACTTTTACAAACCTTCCTTAATATGCTCTTTTGCTACCATATATTAAAGTAGAAACCATTTAAGGTAAGTAATACCAAGTGTCACCGTTATAAACCTTAATATACTTTTTTGTTGTCGAGTGTCAATACTTTTCTTATTTGGTAAATCTACCATTTTACTTTAGGTTTTTTCTCCCCTTATTAATTAATTTTAGCCTAACATTTTTTACCATATTTCATTAAATTTAATTTCAGCCTAGCATGCACTCTTCTTCTTCCGTTTTTATTTCCCCCAACTAACTAATCAAACTTTAATTACAATTTTTTATTTAAAAGATATATTTGTTAATTTATGATGATTTTAATTTTTTTAAAAATTCTGCTAAGGTATGTCCATCATATTTTTTTATTATTTAATAAAAATTGAATTTTAAATCTTATATAAATAAAAATACTTTTAACAAAATACATTATAAGTATATCAATAATTCTTATAATATTTATAATACCCTTATATGATGTAATAGTTAAAATATTAAATATTTATCAATTAATATTAACTAAATAAATTACTATAAAATAAAAAAATGATAATCAAAACTCTCTCTATTTTTCTCACTACATTATTAGGTATGAACATATTTTGTTCAATTCTAAATTGCTTGATATTTAAAATATTTTTTTGTTTGATTAATACAATTAAAAATTTGGCAACTAAAATATTTCACTTTGGTTAATAAATAATGATTAAAATATTTTGATTAATTACATGAACCGTGTTAATAAAAAAATCAAAATCTTAGTAATTAAAACTAAAATGTTGAATTATTTTCAAGTATTAAAATAAGAGTCATTAATTAAAGTAATAAAAAATTGGAGAGGGAGAGTTTTGTTTATTTTATTTTTTTTAATTTTAATATTTATTTAATTAAATTAATAAGTACTTAACATCTATTTATATATTATAAAGGAGAAACCATTGAGGAAAAAAGTTTAATTTGTTACATGTCATACTCATATATTTTTCTTAATTTACTCTTTTTTTAACACATGATTTCACTTCTTTTTCTAGTAAATTTTTTTCTTTTAAATTCTTTTTTTAATGTGATTATTATTGTTATTATTAGGGTTTATCTAACCTATGCCATCAAGACACATATTAAGTGCATATTAAATATACATTTTTATCATAAATTTATATTACAAAAATAAAAATCAACTTTTAATTTATTAACTGTCTAATTAAATTCACATATTTAACATTGACACTAAACTTAATATTAATTTTTATATTTTTTGTATATTTTTATAATAAAAGAAACTCTTAACCTCTACTTTTAAGAATATGGGTTAGAACCTTTATTATTACTAGAGTAAAAAAAAGTAAAAGAATATCATACTATTTAATGAGCTATTCTACCATCTATTAATATATTACAACTATATATATATATATATATTTAAATTGTGCAGTACAATTTTGGCTGCACTTTTCTTTCCATGAACACTTAGAACTTTTTTTTTTTTAGCCATTTATTGCAACGTTTCCATTTCCTTTTCTTAAGTAATTAATAACTAATAATAATTAATAAGAAACAAAAAATGTAGAATTTTAAGAAAAAATGAAATATAAGGGTAAAATAGATAATTATATTAAAGTAATGTGATATTAATTATTTAGGATATGACAATAACCTCACTTCTTTTGTATTATTCTTTAAAGTTTTATTAATACCATTTCACAAAACTTAAATAGTGATAATATAATATTTGTAAAATTAAAGTCTAAAGCTTTATTTTTTTAATAATATTAAAGCTAGTCATGTAGAGAGAGTTAAGCATGTAAAAACAATAATGTTAGCAAAAACATCTTGAATTTAGATACGTACAAAGCTAAGTATAGAAAAGTTCTCTTTTTTCCTTTTTATGAGGTGATATTATTATCACGTCTTCAATTATTAATATATCACCTTTTTATTTTAATTAACTATTATATTTTTAATTTATTAAGATATAAAAAATGTAGATTTAAAAAAAAAGTAATGTAAGGGTATAATAGACAATTATATTAAAATGATGTAATATTAACAATAACAATAACCCAACCCTTTTTATATTATATCATTCAAGTTTTATTAATACCATTTCATAAAATTGTATTTATTTCTTTTTTAATTCTAAGTTTTATCTAGTTAATTATATTAGATTTGAATTTGTTGGGATTAGGCCCAACACTCGCTTCGGGCCACATGCAACAGGCCCAGTTATGCGTTCATAAGTCCAAGATGAAGAGACACACCCATGTGGGTAATAACACGTGGACCAATTGGATGAATACATGTTTGAGCTCATGTCAGTATATGGGACTATAAATACCCTCAACTACCTCCATACAAGGTATTAACTTCACTACACTTCTCTTTCTACAATTACTCCTCAAGAGCATCTCTCTTTAGAACATTGAGTATTGCTAACTTAAGCGTCGGAGTGTTTTCCCCGAGGAAACATCCTCGGGAATTTTGGGTGTTGAAATAGTTGAAGATATCTACTGTATCGGCTCTTGAAGCTACCCAAACATTTGGTGTCGTATGTGGGAAACGAACAAAAAGCATTGTGACTTAACCAGCATGAGCTGAAAATGGTGTGCACCTTCACAGGAAACCACCCCCCAAGAGGGAATGTGGATGACTAGGATAACACTCAGGTGTTGGAAAGTGATCTCAATGACTTCCAAACGCTTCCGAGAAACCTCTTCGTTGGCGGTGCAGAACAAGAACAGTCAAACACTTCAGATGATGATGAAAGAACACCTACAGGGCATGCAACCCAACTTGAAGAACAGTTTTACATCTTGTCTGAAGCCAGACGAAGGCTTTCCAAGCATAATACTACATGACATGTGGAGAGACTTGTAGAATCTACTCGAACGTCTGAGCTGGAAGAAAGAACAAGAGTTCTGGAGATGGCCATGGGAAAAATTCTCTCTCGCTTGATCCCCGATGACCCCTTGATTCCCCTGCTGAATAGGGGCAAGCAACCGGCTGCAGTAGTTGCAACCTGTAACTCCCCGACCCTAAGCAATGTGGTTGTCCCAACCAGACCAAGAAGAAGTGGGAAGTTGAATCCAGAACCTAGCTCGCCCAGGCATAATGAAGAATTACTAAAGAAGAACGAAAACCTTAAGAGACAACTCAAAGACGTGCAAAAGTCTATTGACGAGCTAAAAAGTCCCAGGTCGCGCCAGTAGGCTCTCGACTTGGATAGTGCCCCTCTGAACTTGTCCATCATGGCTAAACCATATCAAGAAGGATTTAAAATTCCCCATTTGGAGACATATGATGGCTCAGGAGACCCGAATGAACATTTGCATACTTATTAAGCCATCATGAGGATCCAGAACGCCACTGACGCCATGATGTGCAAAGTCTTCCTTGCGACGTTGAAATCAACGGCTAGAAGATGGTACCACAAGTTACCTAGACATTCCATAGCCTCCTATTCTGAACTCACCACTTTGTTTTCAAATAAGTTCGTGAGTCAAAGAGAAATTAAGCGCACTGCTACTAAGCTGATGCAAGTTCATCGAAAGGAGGGAAAGTCTTTAAGGGACTATATGCAATGGTTCAACAAGCCCACTCTGGACATTGATAATGTCCTTGATACCATCTGCTTATCTGCTTTGTTGCATGGCCTCAAACCTGACCGATTTTTGGACGACCTACTAGAGAATCCACCTAAGTCGTGAAATGAAGTAAATGACAGGTTGGCAAGTTTCATACTGTCCAAAGATTTTCAATCCTCTAAGAGACGAGCTGATAACAAATAAGGTAAAGAGCCCAGGCAGCTTAAGGGAAGGGACGAAAAGAAAAAACAGAAAGTTGGCAGGCAGAGAGGAAAACCACCTTCCTTTCCAAAATATGACAGTTACATTCCCCTGAACTCGTCAAGGTCCCAGATATTGGCACAGATACAACACTGGGTCAAGAGACCCCCTCCCCAAACACATGATTCTTCACGAGCTGACAGAAGTAAGTATTGTGACTACCACCGTGGATACGGCCATAACACAGAAGACTGTCAAAGCTTGAAAGACGAGCTGGAATTCTTAGCTCGCAATGGAAAATTGGAGGGGTATGTACAGAAGCCTTATGTCTGGCAACCCAATCAGAACCATTTCGTGCAAGAGTATGGCCGATCTTAGGCACATGGATATTAGCTCGACAACAATCCAATTCTTTACCAGGCGAGTCAATACTCGTTCGAGCCTAACAGAACATACAGAGGACGCCTGTTCAATAGGCGACGGCAGGGACAAAAAACATCCACACAGAATCAAAAAGACCACAGGGTGGTTGGATACAGCAGGATACCCCCACCATCTGGCACAATTAATATGATCTCTGGTGGCATGCATTCAAGAGGCCAAAGCGCAAGGCTTATGCTCATCAAGTAATGGCGGTAAACAAGAATAGGCCTCTGAAATGCCACTTTGAAGAAGCAGAATGGGAAAATGCACCAATTACATTCAGCCCGACCGATTACAAACAGTCAGAGGAAGAACCAGACGTTATGATGCCTCATGCTGATCCCTTTGTGGCGACAGTTCATATTAGCAATCATAACATCAACAAGGTCTTCATAGATATGGGCAGCTCTCCTGACATCCTTTATTGGAGCTGTTTCTAGAATGCAGCTAAACCCGAGCTCGTTGAGGAAGTATGAAGGGCCGATATATGGATTTGACAACCAGCCCATCCGTGTTGAAGGAGTGATTACCCTTCCCATCTACGTGGGTGTTGAACCATGGTTTAGGATGGCATCAGTAGACTTTCTGGTCGTTAAGATGGACTCAGCTTTTAATGCTATAATTGGAAGAGCTACACTTTGTGAATTGAAAGCTGTCATCTCTCAACCACACCTCTGTATGAAACTTTCTACTCCTCAGGGTATAGGTGTGTTCAAAGGAAACCAGAAAATGGCCAGAACCTGCTATCAAGACACTTTTAAGAAGGTCGAGCTCGTAGACCAAGCTAGCCAGGTTAGCAGACAATGAGCATATCTAACATAGATCACCGACCTAAGAACGTGGAGCATAAAGCTTAACTAGTAGAACCGGTTGAGACGGTTCCTTTAAGCCCGGACGAACCAGATAAGACAGTGAAAATAGGAACCAAACTCACACCAATAGAAAGAACTGAACTCTTGGAATTTTTGAAAGATAACAAGGACGTATTTGCATGGACAGCGGATGAAATGCCTGGCATACCAACAGACTTTATAGTCCACAAGCTCAGTACAGATCCCACCAGGAAGCC